AATAAAAATTCTGTCATAACTTGCCTCATGTGGTTCCAAACCTGTATGAGCTTCTGTCTTCTGTGGAACACAAAATAAAAATTTTTTTTAAATATTGGTAACCAGACAATTTTAATGACCATTGACTTCCATTGTAAGGAGAGAAAAAAACAACTTCCAAAAGTAAGACATTTCCCAGTAATATTTTCCTTTATGTTCCACACAATAAAAAGAGTGATTTGGAATTTTCGTTTTTGGATGAACGAACCCTTTAATAAAGCGCTTTATAGGGATGATTCACTGATGGCAAGATGGGTTTTTAATAAAAGTTGGCTGTCTAGTAGATTTTTTCAAAATTGATTGATACAAAACAGAGAAAAAGTGCTATGGTGAAAAAAAGTAGCAAAACTTAAACACCCATAATGCACTTGGCTCAGTTACACTATCCATGAGCAAGGATACAAAAATGTTGAAGTAAGATCTGCCCTGGAGCTTTTTTAAAAGTCTGCTAGATGACACAATTTATGTCATCCAGCAGACTTTTACTTACAAATAAACAATCTTGGTGCAGGTAACAGACAAAATAATACAACTTGTTCATTTACTAACACTACCGACAATGTAATACACAGGTTGAAAATTAGTTGAAAATCGGCAAACTTACCTTCAACAAAAACACAAACCTTACATTTCTGCTTTTAAACCCTCCTTGTCTGTTTTTCTTTTTTAATCAAAAATGTTAAAAACAATACAAGGGCTATAACGGAGTTTGAATGAGCAAGAAGAGGAAAAGTCCACATCTAACTAATGACTCCTTAGTGAATACTCAGCCAATGATCTCACTCACTGAGCACACAATAGTGCACTGAGAGGTCAACAGCGTTTCTTGCAGCTTCAAAGGTCCACGATAATAAAACGGTAAATGAAATAAAATGTGTGGGATTCATCTGTGCTAAATCAGGTGACTCCAGCTTTAAAACCTTGAATACAATGCTCTGATCCTGCCAAGAATTCAGATCAACTGTAATTACAGGCCATTTAATGCAAAGGATTGAACGAAAGAAAATATCACACTAAATTATGTTCAACTATGTATTTATTCTTGAACTCAACAATAAGTAACCGTCTCCCAGCTTCTGTGATCAAAGAAGCCACATCGCAGGTCATATAAGTTGCATGGATCTCCTGACAGATGAGCTGTGCTTGTCGTACTTTGACTGTAGTAAAGAAGTAATCAAAACAGTAATCCAGACTGTATAAATCTGTATGTCAAAGGGAAAGGTGTGTACATGAGAACACGAGAACTCTATAAACGAAGCACTAAACCCTTTAAGCGTTTTCTTTGATGTTGCCTTGTGCAGTCGTTAAAATGTGTTCAACGTGTTGAGGCTTGATTGACCCTTACTTACCCCAGTAAACTTCAGATGGACAGCAGTCAGAATGTTATTTATGCTGGCAGTGGAATGACACAGGTATTTAAGTTGCATTAGGATGTCAGAAGTGTTGCTTTTTTGTCATTTATGGTATATAGTTCTTTGTTTTCATTGCTACTTTTATTTTCTTGGTACAGTAGTAAATATTGGGAAATATCAGATGGCTGGATTCTGTGATCGACCAATTACAATCAAGTCTTTCAGAAAACCATGTAATAAGAGCTGTGAACACAGGGTCCCTGCTGAAAAAGTTTTTTTTTTTAATTATAATAAAATTATTTGCTGGTCTTAGCTGGGTTTGGGTTTAGCCCAAAACTAAAACAAGCCCAAAGTCAGCAAGCCAGCAGCCTGCACCAGGCAGGGAGATCAACAAATCTTCTTAGTATAATTTAAGATGTTTTTTTGTTTTTTTTAGCAGGTATATCCTTTTTGGAAAGTTAAAATCATCAGATGTGTCAAACTGACAGTTTTTGCCAAATGCAACAACTTATTTTAGTATTTAATATCATCAGATGATCTTGTTTTTCTCTGTAAATTATTATGACTAGCACCTGCACTTGAACATTGACCTGTGGCAAGCAAATCTGAGACCATAATATGAGTTTTTATCATCTGACTAAGAGGAATTTTACTCCAGTTCAGGTTTGTCACCCATCATCTCCAGAGAAACCTGACAGTATTTCCTATATTGGAACTTCTGTCCAGTCTTCCTTCTATTTTGCTCTTACATTGAAATTCCAAGTATTACATACAGTTAAGTTGTTTTACCACCTTTAAGACTTCTATTGAACTAAAGCACTGACTAGATACCCAGAAGGCCCAGTGTGAGTAGGACTGAAAACATGGAATGAAGATCCGGAGCTGATGATATAAGAAGGGCCGGACTTGGAAACACTGCTGCTAGTCGCTTTGGCTCCTGTTTGTCAGCACTCTACGATGACGATCCTGTTTCTGATCCCAGTTTGCCTGAGCCTGATTCTCAGCAGCTCTGCACAGAGACCTGAACCCTGCAGTAAGACCTCCTGCCCTCTTATCTTTTGCCTGCACATTATAGTAAACTTTATAGAGCTTTAACATTTGAAAGAACAAAAAATGAATTTATGCTCGCTTCTTTGAGAAGTTTAAATAAACCTCTTCACTCTCTCTTGACTTCCAGAGTCTCCACCTTTGCTTGAGGGGGCACTGACCGCGGTAAGGGGCCATCTTGGCAAGAATATTAAACTGTTATGTCTGAGAGAAAAAAAATCTTTCATCAGAGAAACGTGTTGTTTTGGCCTGAATGAACCAATATAAAGTTTGCTCTCTAACTTCCTTTACTAGTTTTCTTATCTCTACCCGAAAACTACCTCAAGTCGTGCAAATGCTAACTGTGAGTTATGTGAAAGTGTTCTCTCTCTTTCCCTCCAACACAGTTCATCCCTGGGCACCACTTACGTGTTTTTGAGAAATTCTCTTATGATGCCTATGGACAGAATATCCGAGTTCTAGCAGCTGGAAAGGAAGGCAACCAGACCTTCTTTGTTGACAGGCTTCTGCTCTTTAGAGAGGTAAAGTACCACAGTTTATGGATAAATAGCAAAACAGAAATTTTGTAAAGTTCATCACTGGGCATTGTGTTGCTGACTCTTGCTAATAGTTTGCTCCCCTCTCCACAGGGAGTCAGCTATGAGATCCACTACCACAACCAAACTTGTATTAAGACAGAATTAAAGGAACCATTCAGACATATTGGGGTTCCCCATGATGCCCATTTCCTGAATCAAATGGTCTTGGGTAGCAGCTCTATACCAGGACAAGGACTGCTGGTCAATAACTGGAATGGAACAGTGGAGGAAACCAAAGGTAATGTGCGCCATTATGCTGCATGATGAATCTCAGTCAGGTTTTTAACATCCAGCACAGGCTATAATACAAATGTAAAAAAACAAACATTTTTAAAACTTTTTTAAACTCTCATTGTTTTCAACTTAAAAGACTACTATTTCCACACGATAATAATTAATATAATAAATAATTAAATATAATACATAATTATAACAAATATTAAATAGAATAAACAATTAAATATAATAAATAATAAAGATTGATGGAGAGGTTTTAACCAAGTTCAAAAATCCCTGTGCTTTATTTCAATTTATGAAAAACTGTTTTGTAATAGTCAGATGTAATTTTGTCTTCTGTTTTTGGTCTATACTTCTATGCATCTATATTTTGTCTTCTTTTCTGAGCTGACCATTTGATTTAGCGAATTATTCACTTTTATGTTTAAAAATAAAACACATCAATAAACTCAATTAATTTGCTGCTTATTAGCAGATAGTAATGTAGTTATTACGTCAGAGGTAGAATTAAGGAATCTAAAATATGATCACACAGAATGAGCCATTAATATGTGCTTTGTAAGTATAATACACAGGCAATATGCATGCTTATAAGCAACTAGTTAATAGTGAGAATTGGTCCCTAAACTAAAGTTACATAGTGTTATATTGATATATGGATATATAATAAATATGGTTTGTTTTCAGTTGCTTATCATTTCAGGTTGAGTAAACCAATGTAAAATTTGCTCTAACTTCTCTTGCTAGTTGGCTTATGTTCTTTGTACTTTTCTTTGCAGAAAGCTACCTGCTGACCTTCACTGCGTTTGGCTGTGTGCCTCTCTACATCCTGGATTTCACACAGAAAGGGGAATTAACCATAATGACAAGGTTAGTCAAGTAGACTGGTCAAAGGCTGGCCCGTCCCATACAAATACTGTAACCATGTTTAACTCTGCTTTTCATTAAAACCCAAAACCCATGGATAATACTTCTTGTAATCAAGTCTACAATCTTGTCCTTAACCTAACCACATTTGTAGTATACTGATGAAGAACAGATTATGCAAAGGTGACTCTCTTAACCAATTACACGCGTTTACATTGCCTTTCCTCTTCCTCTGATCAAGGCCGCCTTCATGCAAGAATAGCATGCACATAAATAAAACAAAATGTGTGCTTCGTGAATGCTGTACAAGATTTCCTCAAGCATGAAAAAGAAAAAACTGTTTTTTTTGGACAAATGTAACCGTAATATAAAACATTAATTGCCTGAGCCTGATTCATATAATAAAAACATTTTAAACATGAATACTTAAATATAGGGCATCTGTACATACGTGTGTGTGTGTGTGTGTGTATATGTTGGACACGATTTGTTAACCCATTTCTTCTTTCCATAGCTTCTTTGACCTAGTGGAAGGAATCGAGGACCCGAACGTCTTCATCCCTCCTTCGTTCTGTGATTCTGTGGAAGTGCTGCCGGCCAAAGGTGATGGGGCAAGATCCTTCATCTCTCTTCTGTGAGAGGAACCAAGCTGGTTTTTGTCAGTGCATGTCCTGCTTAAATTGCAGCACGGACACACCATTTTTTATTTAAATAAAGACAATTTTGGATTTTTTTTAAACACACATTAAACAATAACATGGCTATCCAAACTATGACTACTGCAAGTTATTTTTATTCTCATGAAAGTCAAATACAGCCAAACATGGTAAAGCAATTCCATCCCTATCAACTACAAGCTAAAAAAAAACAAAACAAAAAACACACACACACACACAACTAAATGAAATAACCATATACTGTACATACAACAAACAAAAAAGTGATGCAGGTTATTCAAAGAAAACTGTACAATGTCCAGTGCTTGTTATAACAAAATCTCCAAAATTCTCCAAGAGTCTTGAGGGGGTTTTGACAGGAAATTGCAATGTTGAGTGCTGGGCTCTCGTGTTCACATTTCACAGGTTTAGAGTGGAGTCAAACCCACAGCACAAAAACAGATGAGGCCTTAGCAGCATTAGATGCAGATCTGTTAATTGTACAGGATGTCATAGTGGCCCGGTCTGTAGAGAAGGAAAATCTTGGGGTCTCCGTCTTCAGGGAAGATGTGGTGATTGACTGTTCCTCCCTCTCCTCGATCCATGTACTCCACCTGGATGCACACATTTAAAGCCTGAGCCAGAGCTATAATGTGAATGTGGTCACTCTCTTTGGACATGGGCTCCACCTCCTGGCCAAAACAGAATGACATGCTGGTTTAAAATGTTGCAAAGTCATTGAAGACCAGGTTACTCTACAAGAACCGGATGAAAATTAAAATCACATCTTCAAAATTGCAACAAAGAGACACAAGTCAGAAAGGACGTGTTGTTCAGTGTCACCTGTTGGCAAAACTCTCGAACGGTGCGGCCGCCCTCTATGAAGTGCTGGAAGAAGTCTTCCTCTCTCTGCAGGTACCCAGAGGTCACCAGCCGCAGATAGACGACAAGATAATCTGAAACGCTCTGCTCATTAAAGGAGCTGAGCAGCTCACCTACTGACACTTGCTTATCACAAGTCTCAATCAGGTCCATGAACTGGCGTGAACAAGACAAGAGGAAATTCATTATACATGAAACTCATTTAAGATTATTACTGAAAGAATAATGATGAAATCGGAGAAAAAGGCAAACAGGAGTTGAGACCTCAAATGTTGTACTCATTTTCATACATAATCGTATTGTAAAAACACAAAGTAGCAGGACTGATTTGATTTCCAGTGTTGCTATCGTAAGCTAATTTTGAATGTTTCCGAGATAAAGGCTAAATGGTTATATGCACCGTGTACTTATTTGAATGTGTGCATGGAAAATAATAGTCAAAATGTGATATATTTTAATAAAATGTCAAGTTATATAATGATGCCATGTGACACTCAGTTCACTTAATGGGATTCTCTCCAAAATTAGCCAATGATCTGAATCAGGTGTGTTAAAAAAGGAGAAAATTTAAAATGTTCAGCCCATCCCTTCGGAAAATTAACCATTGTTTTTTGCCTAATTGATTACCATTGGTATAACCACAGTTTTATTACAAATGCCATGGTTAAACTATATGGTTAGTGTAGCAAAACCATGGTTAATTTGTGGTTTAGCTATAGTAACCATGGTTGTTTGGTTTTATTTTTATTTGTAGTAAAACCTGGGTTAATTTTTGTAAGGGATGATTGCAAACAGCTACCAAATATGGGGCTTCTTGAATATTTGAAATGTTTTTCCAAGACAAAAAAAAAATTTAAGTGACTTGTATCTGTGTGACCTTATTTTGAGAACTACCTATATGCAACATTTGATTAAGCATGTGTCGTGGACATTCTCAATATGAATACATCTTAATATAAAAGTAATGACTTCTCTACCACGGACAATACAGACAACCTCCAGTTGTCAATGACGCAATGCAATACTACAGTACCAGTTCAATACAATCCAATACTTCCCTTACTGAAGTATGGTGATGGCGTCCCGTCAAGAAGTTACTATCACTATACCTCAAACCACACATGAGCACCAGGTCTTTAGCATCTATACACTCTCACCACCCTTCTCAGGTATACGCTGGTCCGACACAGGATCATAAATACTAACTCCAAGTATTACAGCCTCACCCCGAGTGCGGGTCTATAGTTTTCCAACACTAGCACTGTCTCTGCTGTGGTCCTCTGAGCATAGAATCTTTAGTACTCCTATTCTTCAGCTGTGCAGCATAGACCAGACACAACTCCCAAGTTGCTCTTTGCAGGGATAAAAAGTTTATTCATGGCCAGGAGCCCACTGATCACAACAACCAAGAGAGACTCCCTGAACATGTATATTATACCTTATAGTTGAGTAATAATCAATGTCACTCAAGTCTTCACTGTAATTGGTTATACTCATCTGGTCATTGGTTTGTCATATGACTGTTCTACTGTTTTAAGTGCTTTTTGGGTAAGTATAGATTATTTAATCATAGATGCATGGTCTTTGATCTGAGCATCCTTAGTATGTACTTTTCTGAACATTCTATATTGAACATACCCTTTTGACTCCTTCTGAGGCCATTATATAAAATATTTCCCTTTTTTTGTAATTGGTTATACTCATCTGGTCATTGGTTTGTCCATATGGCTGTTAGTTCTACTGTTTTAAGTGCTTTTTGGGTAAGTATAGATTATTTAATCATAGATGCATGGTCTTTGATCTGAGCATCCTTAGTATGTACTTTTCTGAACATTCTATACTGAACATACCCTTTTGACTCCGTCTGAGGCCATTATATAAAATATTTCCCTCACACATGTTAATCAACATTAATCTTATATTTTATGTACAAGTCTTTCAGAGTTAATGGGTTAACTCATTTAATTGCTAGACTACAAGATTTAAAACCTATTATTTCACACACACACACCTACCCCTATTTAGCCATTTTCCCAGAAATATTCAAAATGTATAGGTGTAATGTATCTGTTTTAGTGTATTATTATATTTTAGTTTTAAGATGACACTTAAATCAATCATCTATGCAAGTTTGTTACTGGTGGCTTGCCTCATGTAAGCTACTGAAAAGCAATATATATTTTTTCCAGTATTGTCAAAAAAGTTATGGAAAACAGAGAGATGCAGACTTTAAGATTTAAATAACTGTTTATTTCAAATGTAACCGCTCCAGTTAAGGAGAACTGAATCACCCAAGGTTACATGTTATTACACAGTTGGTAACAAGGAGCAAACAGCTCAGTGTAACAAAGACGGGAGTGTTTGGAGGAAAGTAAACGGTCGCATGGAGAGGTAACAGGATGGCTCAAAGGAGAGAAACTGTTCCGCTGTTTAGGTAAGCTGGAGGTCTGTGAGATGGTGGTCCCAAGGTGTTAAAAGCAATAAAACCAGACAATCTGCTTTCAGTCCATGACCGGTGGATCACTCCGACTCAGCAGTGCCCTTCTTTTTGTAGTTTTCCAGGTTGGCCAGAATCCACCCAGATGGTCCCAGGATGGTAAAAGAAAATACGGTCAGACCAATTATTGTCTCCTGTGAACACAGACACAAGAACCAAAGAGCTGTTAGAGCTTTCGGTTTATTTTACTGTTCATAGCAACATAAAGGTACTATTTTATTATCTCTGCTATCACTCCGCAGTCTCTATCTTCTGATATAAATGCAAGCTAATTGGTGCCATCTTGCGACTTAAAACGGCTACTGAGACAACAAACTAATACAAAAATAGCCTCGAGATCTAAGGTATTCATTTTGGCACGTTGAGCAGAAACGGTAGCATTTAGAGAAATATTAATATAGAAAAAATTTTTTTACTTGGATTTGAGTAATACTATATACATAACTGTTGTTGCAGTATTGTCTTATTGACAGCAGTTTTATAATGCACTATTTTTCTTAGCGGAAGCTGATCTGCAATGGCCGCAGTTTCTTAAATGGCACGAAATATAAACAAAATGACCTTTAAGACGAGTGTTACATTACTTTTTAGTTACTCTTTAAAGGAAAATAACTTGGGAGATATAAAAAGTGGAGATATCGCCTGTCAACACCACGACCGTACAACCGCGATCGGCCGAGAAGATTTTAGGTAACGTTACCGTTTCAACCCCAAACCCCATCAGTCCAAAACTAATGCGGAAGTACAGATATGATCTATTCATAATCAACACCTGGATTAGAGCTAAACTCAAACTAAACACAGTGAGTCTAAAGGTGAATGCCAAGGAGATCATGGCCTGCCCTTCACGAGCTGCAGAGTGAACAACCAGCCCTCTACGGATAAATTACTCACAGCGGGCCCAAACTTATCCTTGGCAGGGCGCGTAGCGATGTTGGCTCGCTGGGTGATGGTTGATCCCCGCAGAACCGGAGCGGTGCGGATCCGAGCGACTCCCCGCAGAAGTCCAGACATTTTGATGCTATGAAATCGAGTGCGTAATGAACAGGAAGAAGCAAAGGACACCGGAATATGCGGCAAGACTGCAGCAAGCGCTCATGGGTAACATCCGCATACTTATGGGAGTTGTAGTTTTTGCGTATAAACCATTTTTAGTTAGACTGTTAAAAATAAATAATCTTGCACGACAAAAGTTATACATTATTAAGATTATTCACTCCATTCGTGTAGTTGTTATGTAACCGTGACACCGTTTCTTCGTCATGAGAGAGTTAAATGGTCCCTAAACAATCTTTTACTTCTTTCATAACCGAATCTGGCCAGTTGAGCCTTTTAAAACCTGTGGCAGCTGACGCAATGGAGCAAGTAATTCATTCAGATGCTTGTCTGCATTCTATGAGAAGATATTTATTGTTAAACTAGTAAGGACTAAGGGCAACGCCATCACCAAAATTCACATGACCTGGGACAAATTTTTAGGGGTGAACCATGGCAGTATTTTCTTAAAATTTTCAATTGCTTCATGCATACCAGTGCCAATTTCTCACGTTGTCATCAATTTCTGTAGGCCTATATGCATATACCTAGACATAGTCTTGCCTAGAAAACGTTTTTTTTTATTCTACATTTCCAGCCTTAGGGGGGGAAAAAGACAGTTTGTTTAAAACACGTTGAACCTTTGTTAACACACTTTGTCTTATTTGTCACTGTTTGTTGTAAGTTGCCACATCGGGAGCCTGTAATTAAATGTTATAGTCCATTTAATGTCTTTTCAGATGCATTGAAGCACAAAACCATGAAACAGTGGTTTCTAATACAAATGGTTGTATTAGAAACGACAGTGCAGATTTGGCAAGAAAGTGAAGAAGGAAGATTTACAAACCATATTTTTTCATCTACACATGAAAGACAGTTCAGTTGTTCAAAGCCACTTTCATTATTGTTGACACTTGTATCCCAGTATTATTGTGTTCCCTTCTTTGCTCAAGACATAAGCTTTTATAAATCTGTGACAGTGATTAACTTTTCTGGGGTTCACAGAAGCTGCAGTCATCAAGTGTTTACTAAGTTTTGTGATTTAATACCATGGTAACTGAATTAACACAAAGTATAGTGTTATGTTTTTTTTATGAAAAATTTGGAAGATTTACAATGGTAACAACTGTGGAAATGTCGTAATTTAAAAAAAGTCCTAATTTAATTATATTTAGTCCTAATTGAACAAATTTTTTGAACTCCTGAAACCAGCATATAGAAACTAAAAAAAAAACACAAACATTTGTGTATTACTGAGATACAGCCCTTTTGACAATCTAGATTTGGTTTCTACATATGACATTTTCACTCATTTATTTACTGACTTTCTTAATACTTAAATACTAAATAATTTAATCTGCCTGCGAGATTATGTAATCAACCATTGTGCCAAGTGTTAACAAGCTGCAACAAGCATGACAGAGTAACCTGAAATTGTTTTGCAAAATAATGGACATTTATTAATACTATGGATGCATTTTACAGAAGACTACACATGAAAGATTTAATAAATAGTAAAATAACAAACACAAATCCCAATCTTTTACAATGTGTTCTGTTGCTTTATTTCTTTGCATCATTCATGTAATAAAACAAGCCAAAAAAAAATATCACACACACTTCTACTAAATACTGAGCAAAGGGTCTGAATACTTAGGACCATGTGATATTTCAGTTTTTCTTTTTTAATAAATCTGCAAAAATGTCAACAATTCTGTGTTTTTCTGTCAATATGGGGTGCTGTGTGTACATTAATGAGGAAAAAAAATTAACTTAAATGATTTTAGCAAATGGCTGCAATTTAACAAAGAGTGAAAAATGTAAAGGGGTCTGAATACTTTCCGTACCCACTATATATATATATATATATAACAGTAAAAGATTTCTAAAGGCACTATTTCTCTCTTTGTACAAGTAAATAATAATTTTAACATTTTAATTACAGTCAGAAAAATAAGAAATTCAAGGAAACTCCTTCATAACCTTTGGTTGTTTCCATCATATTAATACTAAAGTTCTCTTCTGTATGGCAATGATCATCTCTGTTTGTGTGTTCCAGTACTGTGTTCAGATGAAGTAAAGTGGCCGGCTCAGACAGACTCTTTCAGGTGGACACAACTGGGATCCTTCTTGGCCATATCCTCTTTTTCAGGTAATCGTTTGTCTTTTTTCCATACAAAACCTCTGTAATAAGTGAAAGTCAAAAAACAACATTATGGTTATCCATTTACACATGACACTTCGCTCATGTCACTTACACATGGGGAAGTCGTGGCCTAATGGTTAGAGAGTCGGACTCGTAACCCAAAAGGTTGCGGGTTCGAGTCTCGTACCGGCAGGGATTGTAGCTGGGGGGAGTGAATGTACAACGCTCTCTCCCACCTTCAGTACCACGACTGAGGTGCCCTTGAGCAAGGCACCGAACCCCCAACTGCTCCCCGGGCATCGCAGCAAAAATGGCTGCCCACTGCTCCAGGTGTGTGTTCACGGTGTGTGTGTGTTCACTGCTGTGTGTGTGCACTTTGGATGGGTTAAATGCAGAGCACTAATTCCAAGTATGGTTTTGTATGGGTCACCATACTTGGCCACATGTCACATGTCACTTCACACTTTAACTTTTGACGCAACATCAGTTGCAATCATGTCTTGTGGATCAGATACAACTAGTACAAAACTCACCTGTCATCCACATCCTGGATAGTATCGGGCAAAGGTTGTGCAAGGGTTTCTGGGAGAAGGAAAGCGAAGATCCCACTGACGATTGGAGCCCCTCCATAGATAAAACCAGGTAGCCATGGGGAATCCTCCCCAAGAAGAAGCACCATGGGGGCCACCATCGCTCCAAACCGAGCCATCATGGACACCCATCCCATTCCATTTTGACTGAGAGGACACAGAAGAAAATTGCATAAGCTGGCATCACTTGCTCTGAAAATTAGTATGGGATTCTGCAGATCTTGTTATTGCTTGTCAAAAAGAAACAAAATGATGGACAATGCAGGGCAGTAACCATAGATATTGAGGGGGACATGTCACTCCCACTAATTAAAAATGGACAAATGATCTCTCCCAATGTTTTGATATTCTTGATAATACTTTGTTTGCTGTTAGGATGACAAAAGGTTTATAAAGTTACATTATTGGGCTGATCTGCCTCAGCGGTCTAAAAGTGCTTGTCAATTACAAAATGACTAAGACTGATCGAATCAAAGAAGCCAGGCAGGATTTACTGTTCTTTAAGTTTATAAAGTTGAAAGCGTGTGAGGTAAGATGTAAGTAGCTAAACATTTGATATTTGACAACCATTTTACAATAGAAATGTTAAATAACCAACAAAACCAATATCACGCGATGTAAACTAAACTTTTTGTTTGTCACATAACATTTCAACTTTTTGAATTAAAAATATAGTGAATCATTTAGCCTACGTGACAAGAAATATTTTGCCATTTTTAATTGTATAAGAGTTAATCTTTGCATTTATTTAAAAAACTGCAAAATTATTTTCTCAATTTTAACTGTATTAATTTGCAAAGAAAATATATATTAAATAATCAATTTGAACTATTTGCAAAGAATTTTGCAATGTTTTTATTTCAAATATGCACACAATCACTCTTACTCTTGTAAAAAAAATATTGCAGTTGTTCAAATTAATTACTTGACAAAAAGATTCTTGTTTTTTGTTTTTTTTACTCGTTCTTTCTTTTTCTTTATCCTCTTAAATCTATTTACATTTTTTAATTTCTTTAAATAATAAGACTATTACTACCCCCACCCCCAATGTTCAAGACTTTGTTGAAGAAGTTTTCGGCCTTGTGGACAAGTGAAATTATGTGAATCGTAGGGAATTTGTGTTGTTGTTTTAGGATGACACTGACACTAGTTAATTACCGGATGACTGTGGGATACAGCTCTCCAGAATACAGGTAACAGCAGTTGAAGGATGCAGCCAGACAGCCCTTCCCTGTGACTGCCAGACTGGTGCGTAACACTTGCAGGTCTGCACATGTACAAAAACAAGTGTCACGTATACATAGGTACACGATCAGCCAAATGCCAGGGTCTCGATTTCTGTGATATAGAAGGACAGACAAACCTCCAGATCTCACTGGAATAACAGCTATTGAAAACTAATGACCCCACGTGACAATGAGACTGCAGTTTTATTATTACTGTGCTCTACTGCCAGCCAGGCTCAAATTCTCACCATAAGGCACCAGAAGATTAATGAGTATCATTACGCCAGCCAGTACAAGAGCTCTGCACTGAGATGGTCTTTGTCCTAACATGCTCATGGATATCGTAACCAAGATTTTGGCTGGTATATCCACCGCTCCAAAGATGATCTGGATAAGGTAAATGCTGACCCCAAATTTCTGCAGATCCATGGAGAGGCCGTAGTAGGCGAAGCTCGTTGAAAACCTGAGATGTTACAGTACAAAGGTCACAACTGTGGTCGTTTTTGAATGCTGGTTGGTACTGAATGGAATGGTAGGATTGAGTGACTTACCCGACTGCACTGAGGCACACGGTGATGGTTCTCATTGTGGATGTGCGCAGGAGGTCTAGAGCGCTGTAAGACCCCTTTGAACAGGCCATCTCCTTCTTCATGGACTCTTGCAACATCTGCATGCACAATCTCAACAGAATAAACATTCTGAAAGACCCGGACGATGCTGAAATTAATGCTCCAAAGATGATCTGGATAAGGTAAATGCTGACCCCAAATTTCTGCAGATCCATGGAGAGGCCATAGTAGGCGAAGCTCGTTGAAAACCTGAGATGTTACAGTACAAAGGTCACAGCTGTGGTCGTTTTCGAATGCTGGTTGGTACTGAATGGAATGGTAGGATTGAGTGACTGACCAGACTGCACTGAGGCACACGGTGATGGTTCTCATTGTGGATGTGCGCAGGAGGTCTAGAGCGCTGTAAGACCCCTTTGAAAAGGCCATCTCCTTCTTCATGGACTCTTGCAACATCTGCATGCACAATCTCAACAGAATAAACATTCTGAAAGACCCGGACGATGCTGAAATTAATATGTCATGCGTAGCGTCAGTAACACTTTAGTTTAGGGACCAATTCTCACTATTAACTAGTTGCTTATTAGCATGCATATTACTAGCATATTGGCTGTTTATTATTACTTATAAAGCACATATTCTGCTTGACCATATTCTACATCCCTTAACCATACCCAATGCCTAAACGTAACAACTACCTTACTAACTATTAATAAGGAGTTTATTAAGGCAAAAGTCGAAGTTAATAGAGAGAATTGGAATAATAATTGGACTAATAATTAAAATAAAGTGTGACCATAACATCATACCTCAAAGTTGATTTTGTCGGCTTCTGCACGTCGTCCATTTATGCGAGCCACAGTTTTAAGGTTTTTTACCGCCTGCTCTGATTTTTTAGTCAGGACCAGCCAACGAGCAGACTCTAAGAACCACCTGCAGATGATAATAACATGACTAGCATCCACAACATCAGATCTCATATCGCTACATACAGGTGCATCTCAATAAATTAGAATGTCGTGGAAAAGTTCATTTATTTCAGTAATTCAACTCAAATTGTGAAACTCGTGTATTAAATAAATTCAATGCACAAAGACTGAAGTAATTTAAGTCTTTGGTTCTTTTAATTGTGATGATTTTGGCTCACATTTAACAAAAACCCACCAATTCACTATCTCAACAAATTAGAATACTTCATAAGACCAATAAAAAAAACATTTTTAGTGAATTGTTACTAGCATATTGGCTGTTTATTATTACTTATAAAGCACATATTCTACATCCCTTAACCATACCCAATGCCTAAATGTAACAACTACCTTACTAACTATTAATAAGCAGTAATAAGGAGTTTATTAAGGCAAAAGTCGAAGTTAATAGTTAGTTAATAGAGATAATTGGACCTTAAAATAAAGTGTGACCATAACATCATACCTCAAGGTTGATTTTGTCGGCTTCTGCACGTTGTCCATTTATGCGAGCCACCGTTTTAAGGTTTTTTACCGCCTGCTCTGATTGGCTGTGCACAAAGGCTATTTCTAAAAAAAAGGTAAATTCCGACTTTGCTATGACAGTCTGGCGCTTCTGAATCAGCGACTGTAAGTATGTTTTGTTATTAGTTTAAGTATTTGCTTTTGACCGTTCAAATGCGGAGTTTTGCGCTGCGCAGAATAACGTGTTGTGTGTGTGTGTGTGTGAGGGGCACGATAGCATCATATGACCCCTTTAACAAACGATCTGATTGACAGTAGTGGTTCTAGGCAAAGTTGTTCAAAATGAAGAGGTCTATCATATGATACGAATATTGTGTGTATGTGTGAAAAGCCGTGCAATATACAATCATTTACGCCCTTGTAAAATGTGATATCGCCCCCCCCCCCAGTGGCTGATTTCTTTCAAACTTCTCACAGACCTTTAGGGCCATGAGTCAAACAGGCCCACTGAGGTTCGTTCTGATCGACCTCCATTAACCTTGCCTAATAGGTGCTCAAACTTCATTGGCCAATGGTGGCCATGTTTTTTGAGATGCACAAATGTTCTTACAGACTCTTGTGGCACTTTGGACAAAGACTTGGCATACCAATTTTCATATTGATTGGACAAATGGTTTCGTAGTTAGCCATTTTTATGTTTTTTTTCTCTCTTATAGTACCACCAAGTGGCCAAGCGCCACAATTTATTTTTCATGTGACCTCAGATTTAGCTCTTACATAAGTATTCTGAGTTTGGCGAAGATATCTCATTCCGTTCAATAGTTATAGCCATTTTAGTAAAATTGTCCCAGCCCCTTTCAAACGTTTTGGCGTCCCTTTGCGACAGTGAGTTGAAAATGTAACTTTTTTTTTATAATTATTGATATTCACTCTCCAGAGAATGTTTCTGCATTGGTTCTGATCGGGTGAAAAACCTAGGACTAGTTCACAAAAGTAGGTTTTTTAAAAATCCAAAATACCCGAAAATTTCGCCCAGGTGATAATTGAATTCGAGGCATTCATTTTGTCCCGTTTGAGCTAATGGTACATTCACACAGGGTGTCGTTGTGAACACCTCTCGTTTACTTTGAATGGAGTGACGTCAAGCATTGCTGAAATGAATTGTGGGTCTGTTGCTTCACGTTGCTCACGGAAGAAGTTGAAAACTTTTCAACTTTTATTCGCCTTATGCAAATACCCTGGTGCAGTTGCTAGCCAATCACGTTCATGCAACACCAGACAACTAATGTGATTGGCTGTTGTCACTATGACGTTCGCGTCAGCACCAAGCTTCAGAAACGCCCTCCATCAAGGGTTGACGCAGATGCCCCGTGTGAATGGGGCGTAAGGATTCCAACGACATTAGACCAGCCTGCGACTACTGCGACTAACGTTTTAGGAGTTATGAGCAATTTCATACTTCACTGTAGCACCCCTGTCAGGCCGATTGTGGCGAGCCTTGGTGAGTCTCTATGACTTACGGTTTCGTGTGCCCAATCAGTTTTATGTGGAGATTGCTGATCCTTGGCCATTCTAACAATTACAATAGGGTTTCAGAGCTACGCGCTTGAACCCCTAAATACTGACACTACTTGTAATGTACTTTTAAAAGTGGAGCAGTCAGGAGCAGAAGACGCACCATGAGTAGAGGAAGGACACATAGAAAGGCAGAGATACGGCCAGTGTGAGCCAGCGCCAGTCTCTGATGCAGTAAGCAACGGCTGCCAGAATCAGTTGGCCGGCGGTGTAGAAGTAGCCCGTTCCTGTGCCCACCACG